GTATGTGGCTCAAATCTCCCAAGTCAACGGAGAAGTATAGTCTGCTTTCGTCTCCTCTTTCTGCCCCCACTCCCTCACCTCTTTATGTCCCCTTCTTTGGGCTCCCGACTCTTTCTGCAGTCTTTCTACTGCTACTCCTCGGCTCCTCCTTACTGCTGTCATTCAGCCACACCCCTGATCTACACCTAGCCTTCTCGGACAAGGGCGAAAAATCTCGGAAGGCCCGTGTGCAAGTTGCGCACGTTAAAGATCCCTTGGTGGTCTAAAATCGATATGAGTAGGTTTCGGCCGCCGCCCGGGAAAAATTCGAAATGTACTACCAACTGAAAAAGTTGAATGTGTCCCACGCGCTCATATTACGACATTATGCAGTTGTGAGCGCCGTAAAACACTTACCAAAAACAAAACACAAAAAACAAAAAAAGAACTCGGGTCACCTTCGTGCGACAGCGAAGCGCTTGCCTAATAGTGCTGGGCGTCTAGATTCCCGATTATTGAAAGCTAGGAATCGTAGGACTCGACTCCGAACCCAAGTACTTACTTTTTAATGTGATTTCTTCCGGTGGTTACCAGGTTGGCTCCGAACATCTTCAGAATTAAAATTTAGGATAACCTTGATTTCGGAACACTACGAAGCATCTACTTTTATGTTTCAAAAATAAATTTAAAAAAAAAGATTTTGATGATTAGTCGGAACTTTTCTTTCGCAGCATTTATCGTGGGAATCGGTTCCGGAATCGATTCTTCGCCCAGCTCTACCGCCTAACCACTACACCTCACAGACTCCAGTGAATATACTGAGAAAGATTTTTTTTAAAACTCAGGTCACTGTTCAAAATGGTGTATGGATGAGTCTTACACTAAGCCGTGGGAGGTTGGGGCGTGCTCTGGTGTGGTCTGCACCTCCTTTCCTATCCTGACGGCTACACTACAGACTCCAGTGAATAAACTGAGGAGAAAAAAAAAGAATGAACTGAGAAGGAAAAATAAAAGAAGAATAAACTTGGCCGTGTGTCAACGTAACCTGCCTCGTTCTTAACGTGCTGCACGTCTAAGCTACTATAAGCTCCCTTTACACTTTGGCCGCTTTTCTTCAAACAAACAAAAAGCGAAGAAGAAGGAGAAGGAGAAGAAGAAGGAGAAGGAGAAGAAGAAGGAGAAGGAGAAGAAGAAGAAGAAAAAGAAGGAGAAGGAGAAGGAGAAGAAGAAGGAGAAGAAGAAGAAGAAGAAGAAGAAGAAGAAGAAGAAAAAGGAGAAGGAGAAGGAGAAGAAGAAAAAGAAGGAGAAGGAGAAGGAGAAGAAGAAGAAGGAGAAGGAGAAGAAGAAAAAGAAGAAGAAGAAGAAGAAGAAAAAGAAGGAGAAGGAGAAGAAGAAGAAGAAGAAGACGAAAAAGAAGTAGAAGAAGAAGAAGAAAAAGAAGAAGAAGAGGAGGAGGAGGAGGAGGAGAAAAACACGAAAGGTAAGGGCAAACAGACCACTTTGGCTTGTGTAAGACTCCGTCTTTGTGTGTTAGTTTTAGTAGAGGTTTTACGGCGCTCGCAACTGCATAAGGTCAAATTATTATGAGCGCCGTCTTATGTCACTTTTCAACATGGTGTGTGGATGAGTCTTACGCTAAGCAGTGGGAGGTTGGGGCGTGCTCTGGACAGGTGTGATCTGCTCCTTCTTTTCTATCAAATATTTGTTTTGTTTGTTTGTTTGTTTAGTATAGGGTTTTACGGCGCTCGCAACTGCATAAGGTCATATGAGCGCGCGGGACACACCTAATACTTTTTCGTTGGTAGGAAATTTTGAATTTTGCCCGGGTGGCGGCCGAAGCCTACTCTTATCGATTTTAGACCACCAAGGGATCTTTAACGTGCGCAACTTGCACACGGGCCCTCCGAGATTTTTCGCCCTTGTCCGAGAAGGCTAGGTGTAGATCTTTCCTACCAGAAGATCAGGGGTGTGGCAGAAAGACAGCAGTTAAGAGGAGCCAAGGAGTAGCAGTAGAAAGGCTGCAGAAAGAGTCAGGAGCCCAGAGGAGGGGACAAAGGAGGTGTCAAATATTTATCGTCCCTGACTTTATGTCACGTTCTTTTCCGTGTTTGTTACTCTCTTGTTATACCTCTAATATGTTGCGTTGGCATTTTCATGACCTTGTAAAACTTTTACAAAAACTATTTTAAAAACTCTAGCATGTTGGCATTTCAATGACCTGATTGTGTTGCAAGTGCCGTAAAACTTTTACAAAAACTATTTTTAAAAACTCTAGCATGTTGGCATTTTAATGACCTGATTGTGTTGCAAGTGCCCTAAAACTCCTACTAAGTATGTGGTTGGCGGGTGCTCTAGTGTGGTTTGCTGCTTCTTTCCTATTATAACGTCTATCGTCCTTATCTCTCCTCATTTTTTTGTGTTTGCTACTCTCTTGTAACACCTCCAATCTTCGGCCCTCACATAACCTTATTGTGTTGCAAGTGCTGTAAAAATTCTTGCTAAAACTAAACTCTCTTGTAACATCTCTAATACGTTGGCACATATTTAACCGTATTATGCCGTAACTGCCGTGTTACTCTATTAAAAAAAAAATTTGCATCACTTATTTTTAAAATTTTTAACCACTCTATTTTTTAAATTTTTACACCTTTCTATTTTTGTATTTTGACACCACTCTATTTTGTTATTTTGACACCACTCTATTTTGTTATTTTGACACCACTCTATTTTGTTATTTTGACACCACTCTATTTTGTTATTTTGACACCACTCTATTTTGTTATTTTGACACCACTCTATTTTGTTATTTTGACACCACTCTATTTTGTTATTTTGACACCACTCTATTTTGTTATTTTGACACCACTCTATTTTGTTATTTTGACACCACTCTATTTTGTTATTTTGACACCACTCTATTTTGTTATTTTGACACCACTCTATTTTTAAAATTTTTAACCACTCTATTTTTTTTATTTTTACACCTTTCTATTTTTGTATTTTTACACCACTCTATTTTTTAAACACCTCAAATGGCGCTCATATGACCTTGTGCTGTTGCGAGCGCCGTAAAACCCTCTACAAAAAAACAACAAAAAAACAACACCTCTAATCTTCTGCACATATTTAACCTTATTATGTAAAACCTAATGCCGTAAAGCTCTTGGTAAACAGCTCAATCGTTTAAGGCGTTTTTGTCAAAGAGGGCGAACAGTTTCTTCAAAAGCAGCTTTTGTTTGTTCACAGGATTCCATCAGTATAGACTGGGACCCCGAGTCAACGGAGGAGTATACCTGTCCGGAGGGACAGAGGCGAGGGCTGGTGAGTTTTTTGTTTGTTTGTGTGTGTGTTTGTGTGTGTGTGTGTATGTATATGTCTGTTTGTGTGTGTATGTGTTTGTGTGTATGTGGCTCAAATCTCCCAAGTCAACGGAGAAGTATACCTTTTCTTTACCCCGGTTTCTTTCCTTTTTATCGACGATGTCCAAATTCTCTACAATGTCCTAGTTTGTATTCATTCTTGAGCTGCGTGGTCTTCCTCTTTTTGTTCCCCCTCCGCCTTTCAGTCCGTGACTTCTTTGATCGATGTGCTTAACTTTAAGCTCTTTGGAGACGTGTCCGGAGAAAATGAGCGTGACTTTTTGTGTGACGTAAACGTTCGTGAGCTAGTATTTGCAGATGGTTGGAGGGGGGGGGGACACAAGTGGGTTGTCTCTGCATCTCTTTCTTTCCTTCTGTTGTTTATGTCTGTCTGTCTGCCTGTCTGTCTATTTGTCTGTCTATCTGTCTGTCCGTCTTTCTGTATGTCTGTCTGTCTGTCTGTCTGTCTGTCTGTCTGTCCGTCCGTCCGTCCGTCCGTCTGTCTGTCTGTCTGTCTGTCTTTCTGGCTGGCTGTCTGTCTTTCAGTCTGTCTTTCTGTCTGTCTGTCTGTCTGTCTGTCTGTCCGTCTGTCTGTCTGGCTGTTTGTTTGTCTGTCTGTCTGTCTGTCTGTCTGTCTGTCTGCCTGTCTGTTCTTTCTGTCTGTGTGTCTGTCCATCTGTCCGTCCGTCTGTCTGTCTGTCTGTCTGTCTGTCTGTCTGTCTGTCTGTCTGTCTGTCTGTCTGTCTGTCTGTCTGTCTGTCTGTCTGTCTTCTTACTTTAGTGGACCAGTGCGTGTCCAGCTTTTGCCATGCTTTAAAAAAATTCTATTTTTACAGTTTGTCTTAGCCTGCTTCTTGATGAATATGTGGGTGGTTGGCGGGTGCTCTGGCATGTTATGTTCTCTCTTTCCTACCAAGCATCTATTTTCCTTATCTCTCTTATGCCCTTTCTTTGTACAGTATTGAATTGCTTGAATGTAGAACTGGGATCTTGGAAAGACAGGGAGGGTGCTCCATGCTTCCTCGCCCATCTTCATGAGGACCCCCCGGGGCAGTGCCACTGACTGTAATGTCTTTAGGCCATTCCCAAAGGTTGACATTTCTCGTTCAAGCATAGTAGAATTGTAAATGGGCTGACTCATGTCACACTCATACTGTGCTTGATCTACAACAGGTAACTGCTGCTTTTTCTTTCCTGATCCTTACTATTGTCATTTTCCTCTACTTCTTTTGTATGTTTGTCACTCTCTTGTGACCTGCTATTTCTGAGGTGCCTTGATAGTCGAAGCAGACCTTGTGCTGTTGAAGCTAGAAAGATGAGCAGTCTAAGTCTGTTTCCCTGTAAAGACTTCTCTGTTGACACCCACCCTTTGGCGCTCATATGACCTTATGCAGTTGCGAGCGCTATAAAGCCCTCTACTATAAAAAATATATTTAAAAATTTCTTTAAAAAATAATTCTGAAATTATGCAAACTGTTAATTTTAACAAAGAATGATGTGATCAAATTTTGCTAAATTATGCTGGGTACATAAAACCACAGGGACAGATTAGGTCTATGTATACTGTACCTTTGTGAGTAATAAATGGTTTACTACGTGTCGTTTTTCCCCAGGGAGACGCAGAGATAAACACACAGACCTGTGAGGACGAGGCAAAGAAGG